ATCAACAATATCCTTACTCAACCTTGTGTTCCCTATCACCAGCTTCCTTGTCCCCTTCTGCCTTCTGGCCCTTGTCACTGGACTCCTGTACCTCGTTAGACTCATCTGGTTTTACAGGGCTGTCCAAAGAGTTGTATTTTTGAAGCCTTAGACCACTTAGGGATTTCTACCCCCAGAACTGAGGCACCATGTACAGTCACTGCCCCCAAGCCAGAGATGCTAACAGAGCAACTTAGGACTCAGAAGAAATGCACATACTACAAAAGGCTTATTCTTAGGGTTAAGCCTCTCCTCCCACCCACAGTAGTCCCAAATCACTGCCAAGCTGGACCAGCATTGTTATTGTTATTTGCTGTCAAGTCAGTTCCAACTCATGGCAACCCCGTGTGTACAGAGTAGAATTGCTCCATAGGGTTTCAAAGGCTATGACCTTTTGGAAGAAGAGCACCAGGCCTGTCCTCTGAGGCACCTCCGGATGGGTTTGAACTGCCAACCTTTCAGCTAGCAGTTGAGCATTTAACTTTTTGCGCCACCCACAGACCAGAGTGCAGCCCTATAAATGCAGTGGGAACTCCAGACCTTGGTAGATTCTGACACCGAGGACTCCTCTGCACAAAGATAAGGGAATCCCCAGAAGCCCAGGACAATATTCTGAGTCAGGCACCAGGCAGTTCTATTACTAGCTGTTAGGGGAAGCTCAGTCATCCTTTTTCTCTCTTTTGGGGAAGTAACTTTTCCAGAGAGAACAAACGTTCTTTAAACTGGCAGGGGAATGCTAATTGTTTTATGGCAAAACAATGTTATTGAGCCACAAAAAATGGTGAGAAGGACTTTTATTTTCTATTGTGGAATGACATACTGTCAAGTGAAAAAAGCAGGTTACAGAACAGAATGAGGATGGATTACTTTTATGATCAGGAATAAAAAAAACTGTTTCCATGCTGAAACAAAATGGCATGTTTTAATGTGCTCTGCACTGGCTTTAAGGAGGCCATTAAGAAGGAAATTTAAAAAAGAAAAAAAAAGACTAGGAATTAACTGTGGTTGTGACTAGCCCAGAAGTAGCTGGGTGGTGCAAACAGTTAATGCGCTCGGCTGATAACAGAAAGGCTGGAGGGTTTTGTCCACCCAGAGGCACCTCAGAAGAAGAGCCTACTGATCTACTTCCAAAAAATCAGCCATTGAAAACCCTGTGGAGCACAGTTCTACTCTAACACACGCAGGGTTGCCACGAGTGGGAGTTGACTTGACGACAACTGGTATGGTTTTTTTGGTGACTGGCCAAGGTCTTACAGTTAAATACGAGGTGAACTGGGACCAGATCCTGGGTTTTCTCTACTAAATCATATGCTCCTCTTAGGAGACCAAGTTTGTCAGACAGACTGTTCCCTAAAAGGGGACTGGGGGACAGTTTATGTGCTCAGGATATGCTGCAACTAGAAGTAGAGGGCAGAGATCTGGACCATGTCTGAAAAAAGGCTGGCAGGGAGCCTTGCTGCCTGGGAAGGCAGCATCTGAACATAGGACTCTAAGAGGTGAGGCCAGGGCATAAGACGATGATGACTCTTGGGCTTTAGCCACTCAGGGCCTCTTCTTGATTAATACTACATCACCTGCACATGTCTTACTATGCACCTAATGGTTTCTTTTAAGTTGACTCTCTTTTATTTCTTAACTCCATTCTAAGAAATAGAGACATGAAATCGAGGATTATATTTTTTCTAACATTTATGAAAATGACATAGCTATTAAAGAAAAAATGTTTATTCATGCAGCACCTAAAAGAAGGTCGTTCTCCAGGCTTGGGAAGGACTGGCGCAAACACCTCCCTGGTCCTTCCCATCCCTGGCCCTTCCCAATGCACACATGCAGTGGCTGCTCCCCCAGGACCCCCATAGTGATTTGAACACGCCCCTTCATCACCCTGTGCTGTGATTATCTATTCAGACATCCTTGCCCCCTTCTAGACAGTAAACTTCTTGGAGGCAAAAACTAAGCTACGTTCGTCCCATCTCCCCAGGGTTTTGGCAATGCCCGGTACAGGGTGGGCCTTCAATACAGGTTCCATGTAGCTGTTCAACTTCTCACCTCTGGGTGGCGCGGGGTGAGAAGGGAGAGGCCTCTTGGTCACAAAGAGGAAGTGACAGAAAAAGAGGAGGGACCTACAATCTTCCCTGAGAGTGCTGGGCACCCCAGCTCTGCCCAATCTCATCTCAAATACACTCCCATGTCTTGTCAACACCTCCCACTCACCCAGACCTTCTAGTCACTCCGTCACGCACTGATCCAGCCCCAGCCCAACCCTGCCAGAGACAGTGGGAGCTCAGGGAGGTTGAGGCACTGTCTCTGCTCTCAAGGAATTTATAACTGTAGGGAGCAAATGGAATAAATGAGCTGGTGGTCTAGGAGAGAGCGAGGGATCCCACAAGTGGGGGTCCAAAGTCAGGCCCAGAACCTGTCGGATAGTTACACTGCACAGACCCAGGAGATGCCAGCCAGTGACACAGACACCCAGCGCATTTCATCTCGTCCTCAGGCCTGATTCTTCTAATCACAGCCCCATCCCTTGTCCTGCAGCTAAACTTCAGGCATTGCCTGTCCACCCTTATACTTCTCCAGTCTAAGCACCCCCCAAAACAAGCTTTGCTTCTCTCCTTTCTCAGCCTAAGAGGCAACTGCACCTCCTATTACCCTAAGAGGTCCCCCCACCCACCCTCCTGCCCTCTGAATGTCCCCATGCTCCCCTCCCCTCCACCCTATTCATAGCTGTGCGTGCGGGTGGGTAGCTCACAGGCTGTGCCTGGAACAGGTGTGGGGGATCGGGTGACTGACAGATGAGCCGAGACAGCCGCAGGCGGGTGTGGGGGCCTAGAGGGGCTCGGATTCATTGTCATGCACTGGTATGTGCTTGGAAGAAACGTCAGGGCCCAGAAGGGAACAGCAGAATGGGATGGGAGGAAGGTCTGGGGCACTCTTCCCCAGCCATTGCCACAGCCCAGGCTCTACCCAGCATTCCCAATGTGCTGACTGGTGTTATGGCCTTTAATGTCCAAGGCTCCCCTCTCCCTCTGCTGTTCTCAAGGTGCTCTGGGCAAGGAGCGAGGGGCTTCAGCCTCTCAGTCCCCTGCGGCAGACCCTCTCTGTACTCACCACGTGGAGAACAGCTTCAGCAACCTCAACCCCTCTTGCAGCTGGATGCCATTTCCAGCTGGCCATGATTTGTCCCGACGCCACGAGGCTCTGAATTACTGTCACAG